AGTATTACTCTGCATTAAAAAATGACAAAATCATAGAATTTGGAGGGAAATGGATGGCATTAGAGCAGATTATGCTAAGTGAAGCTAGCCAATCCTTAAAAAACAAATGCCAAATGACTTCTTTGATATAATACAGGGTAGGGACGAAGAGTTTGAGAAGAAGATTAACATTAAACAGGGATGAGAGGTGGGAGGGAAAGGGAGAGAGAAGGGAAATTGCATGGAAATGGAAGGTGATCCTCAGGGTTATACAATATTACATATAAGAGGAAATGAGGGGTAAGAGAAGAATTAATACAAGTGGAAGAAATGATTTACAGTAGAGAAGAGGGGAGGGGAGGGGGGATAGTAGAGAATAGGATAGACAGCAGAATACATCAGACACTAGAATGGCAATATGTCAATCAATGGAAGGGTAACTGATGTGATACAGCAATCTGTATACGGGGTAAAGTTGGGAGTTCATAACCCGCTTGAATCAAACTGTGAAATATGATATATTAAGAACTATGTAATGTTTTGAACGACCAACAATAAAAAATAATGAAAATAAAAAAGCAGGGAAGGAGAAAGAAGCAAATGCTCATGGGCTCAGTGCAGAGGCTGACTGCCCGTTGGGCCGCAGGCACTCACTACCCTGGGCTATGTTTCTAGTGCCTGGCTGAGCACATGGATGCCCCTCATCTGGTCTCTGGCTTTGAGGCCACCATCAACAGCTTTGATAAGAACTTCTCCGCCCACCTGCTAGACCTGCTGGCCCGTCTGAGTGTCTACAGCACTAGCGACTGTGAGCATGGCATGGCCAGTGTCATTTCCAGGTCTGTTGCCACCTGCCAATGCCCCTTCCCCTGGACCCTTGCTCCCCCTCCCTTGGCAGGATGGTGGAAGGAAAAGGATCTAGCTAGGGCTCCTTGAGCTGGAGGAAGTGGGGGGCTTTGAGAAAAGGGTTCCCAGCTTTTGCCAGGAGAGGGTGATGTCCCGCATGCCCTTGGGAATGTGCCCGCATGAACAATGGGACCACCTGGTGCACTGTGCCATTCAGCCATGTCCCAGTTCCTGAGTGGGGGCTTCTGAGGTGGCCCAGCACTGAGACTTGCTGCCAAGTTCCCATCCCTGGGGTCCCCTCAGGCTCCTGTGGCCAGGTGATGTATCAGAGGCCAGGAGAGGAGTCTATGTGCTTCAGTGGCCATACCCTCCAGGAGAAGGCTGCTGAGATGCCCGTCAGCACTGCTCTCTGCCTTTTGGTTTCTGTGTGTTTCAAGATCCCTTCTCAGTTTTGCATAAAGAGCTGAGGCCTGTGCTGGGGGGCTTGCACAGGCAGGTAGAGCACACGCTCCCTTGCCTTCAGCCAGGAGAGGGCCTTGAGTTGTGTCTAATTTAACCCCTACCTGTGTGGAGAAATGGTGCCACCAGCACTGCGTCCTTGCATGTCCCTATAGCCATGCGTCTCAGTGGGGCTTTGCCCACCTCTCCATGAACCCTGGCTCTCTTTCCCTCCTCACAGGCTGGACTTCAATGGCTTCTACACGGAGCGCCTAGAGCGCCTGTCTGCAGAGAGGAGCCAGAAGGCAGCCCCTCAAGTACCCGTCCTGCGGGGACCCCCAGCACAAACACCCAGGGTGGCGGTCGCCGCACAGTGAGCCCCTGGCTGCAGCTCAGAGGAAGGGCTGGGCCACGTGTGCCATAGTGCAGATGGGCTTGGGTCTGAGCACCTCCTTCCTGGAGCACGTGTTGTGCGGTTGTCCTACTTAGACACGTGTGTGGTGTGTGTCATTGCTGTAGAGTGCTGTCTGTATTGCTGTCTAGCTCAGGGCTCCTCGTTCTCCAGGCGCTGGGTGTCTTGATGTGCAAGCTGCCCAGAGCAGGGTGAGGTCTCCTGGACTTTCCTGATTTATCTTTTAAAAACACCTTTTTTTGGTGTTTTTTTTGTCTCAAATAAAGACAAAGTAAAAACAAGGCATTTGATTATAAGATGTGGTATAAGTGCCTGGCGTGGTGGTGCACGCATGTAATCCCAGCAGTTCGGGAGGTTGAGGCAGGAGGATTGCAAGATCAAAGCCAGCCTCAGCACTGGTAAGATGCTAAGCAACTCTGTAAGATCTTGTCTCTAAATAAAATACAAAATAGGGCTGGGAAGTTGCTTAGCGGTTGAGTGCCCTTGAGTTCAATCCCTGCTATCCAAAAAAAAAAACCATGGTGTAGGGGATGAGAGCTGCCTGGGGACTAGGGCTGCAGGTCCTCAGCACTGCTTGCTTCAGACACTAGGGTGCAGCAGTGAACCTTGCTGTGAAACCACGCCTCTGGTGCCCAGGCAGATGCCTCCTCCCTGGGGTGCACCTCCTGAGGAGTGGTGCTGAGACCCTTCTCCTGTCCCCTGAGGGCTGGGTTCCCTCTGTTCATCAGATGCTGGCCTTGCTCACTAAATGACTGACGTTCTGCAGTGGGCAGCCCAGCTGTGGCACTGCTTGGCCAGGGTAGCATGTTCTGGTCATGCCCAGGTCAAGCTGCCCTTCTGCTGAATTTCATGTATATCATTTTAAAAATCCAGTTCTACACATCTGTCTGGTGGGCAGTGAGGAAGGGCCCAGGAGGAGTGGTAACCAGAGGCCTGTTTTTGGAGGCTTGGAGCCTCACAGGAGGTTTCCTGAGACAGGTTCCAGGGTGGGCAGCTGTGGTGGCTGCCTTGCAGAGGGGCATCTGCAGAGCCAGGGCTGCTTGGCTTCAGCCATCAACTGCTGCTTCCCATCTGCAGCATATGGAGGCACAACTAAGAACACAACGTCCACATGCCGCCACCCCTTTGCCACAGAGAAGTGCCAGGCGAGTTGAAGTGGAATTAGGTCTGTCCTGTGGGATGAGGTTCTGAGGGTGGTGTTGGGCTGCCCTAGTTGGCCCTGATTGTTGAGTGTTCATTACTGGTGCCATCTGCAGTGCTGCTTGGTTAGCTGAGGCTGCCCTGGCAGTGGTGTCTCTGCTCTAATGTGACTGGAGATGCGATGCAACACCTTGAACTTTTGCTGTCACGTGACTTGCGATCAAGGAACATGGGGAAGAAGTGAAACTGGGTGTGGGTGGTTTATTTTTTTATTTTTTAATGTGGAACACAGTACCTCATGCCTGCTAGGCACGCATTCTAGCATTGAGCCCCATTCCCTGCTTTGGGATGGGTGTGCATAAGTCATTTGTGAGCTCAGGCGGAAGCCAGCCTTACCCAGCAGTCCCTCCCCTGCTCACAGTGGCCTGTGAACTCCTCTAGCAGTGGCACCTGGGACTGATGCAGACATCAGATGGCTTCCATCTGTGCTACCACTGCCTAGCTTCTGACTCTGCCATCATGCTGGGGCAAGGAGGTGACAGGTTCCCTCCTGCCCCAGCTCAGACCCTTCAGCTCTGTCCCCAGGAAAACATCCAAGGCGCCAACTTCTTGCCACTGCCCCTTTATACTGAGCCTGAAATCTGTCACCTTTCCGTCTCCAGCCTACTGTAGCCATCTCCATGTCTCCCTGTCTGGCCCCTGATCCTCCCCTGCATCACAAGGGAGGCTGAGCTGCTGGGCTCTGTTGAGGACCCTTAGGTTGCCCCTGGCTGGAATGAGTCTGGGAAGGCTGTGAGGTTGGCCTGCACCTGCACCCCAAAGCCTGGCCAAAAGTGGGGGATGTTGCTGCAAAGGACAAAGGAGGACCCACATGGATTAGGCTCTGATTCTGGGGCCACTCCAGGGCAGGAAGGGCAGAAACCAGGGCTGCAAGGGGAGCTTGGTCCAAAAGGACCCCATAGCTGGGAATGGACCCCAGCCTAGGCAGCCTCCACACCTACATGATTTGTGCTGGCACCCACAGCTGTCTGGCTCCTCCCCAGTGAGGTCTCAGGGGCCTGGAGCAGGGCCTAGGGCTGGTCCTGTTTACCCTGCATGGGGTTGCTTTTCCCCTGGAAGTCAGAGGATTCACACACACTGCTCCTTAGTTGTCTCGTAGCTGCACCCCACACAGCTCAGGCAGGCCCGGGAGAGGCGGGGCCTCGTTCTCCCTAGGTACATGTGCGTTACTAGGAGTTGTAGGGAGTGGCAAGGTTCTATTCACACCCATGCCCTTGTTAATTTAGTCGACAGTTATGGGGGGACCAGCAAGAAATGAAGGGGTACCAGGAAGCTACCGGGAAGTGGACTCAGTCTAGCCCGGCTGCCCTGGAGGCCCTCCCCAGGTGCATGTGCCCCGCCCCTCTGCCATGCGATTGGCCAGGCTGGTCCCCAGGCGGGTGCATAGGCTGGAGCCTGCAGAGCTCTCAGTTTAGTTCTTCAAAGACCCTCCAGACCACAAGGAGACCTGGGACAGCACCATGGGCGGCCTCGGGCTCTGGCTGCTCTGTGCACTGTGGCTCCAGGGTGAGTGGGAAGAGGATGGTTCCCAGGAGTCCTCTCAGGACGTGGGGCAGGGTGGCCTTCTGATTGATGGCCAGGGCTCCAACTGGGTCACCTGGCCTTCCTCAGGCTGTTTCCTGGGGGAATGGGTTACGTGGGTGGTCACTCAGAGAGGCCAGGGTACAGCAGAGGCCAGAGGGAGGAACCTTGAGAAGAACTGTAAGAGAAGCTGGCGCCTGGGGCGTTTCCCGGTCAGGACGGTTGAGACCACAGGGGTGAGGGTTGCAGGGCGGCTCCAGCTGCCGGAGGAGCCAGGTTCCTGGGTTCCACTGTGGGGCTGCGGGGGGCTGCCCTGGGAGCTTCCTGATGAGGTGTGGTTTCAGCCTGGGACTCCTAGAGGGCTGCTTCTTTACCTCTCCTGGAGGTTTGCGAGGTGTTCAGGGACAGAAGTCTGAGGTCGGTGGTCTCTGTTAGCACAGAGGGCTGGGTCCTGGGCCTGCAGCTGGATATCAAGGAGTTTCCAGGACATCAGGAAGCAAGCAGCCTGGGGTGGGGGTGGCTGCTGTCGGCTGCTATGTGCCGTTAGATGGGATCCTGAGAATGTAGGAGACAAAGAGACTTGTCCCCAGCCCCTATGTGTACTTGTCCCAGGCTGGGCTTCCAGGGTCTCTGGCACACATGGTGTGCCACTCCATTAGGCACAAAGCCCTCACCTGGGCTGTGGGGTAAGACCTTCTAGTCACTGGTCCCTGGGCCATTTGGTGATAGCCTCAGGGAGGTGCAGACTTACACCCGCCTGGGGGCCACTTAGGCAGGAGGCCTTTATGTCTGCTAACCACTCTTACCCATAGCGATTGCACTCAGCCCGTCCTTGCCCCCCGTGGAGCAGTATGAGGTGGTGTGGCCCAAACGTCTGCCTGGACCCCGCACCCGCCGAGCTCTGCCCTCCCACAGGGTGAGTCTGGTGTCCCCACCAGGCAGCCCCTCAGAGCCTTTCCTGTGGGGTGCTGCGTGGGTATCTGGGTACTGCAATGCACAGCCCCAGGGCTCACAGGCAGACCCTGAGGCTGGCCTCTGCTTCCGGGCTTGCCCTGGGTCCCTCCTCCGGTGCTCACCTTCTTCCTTCCTCCTGCCCCACCCTGTGGCGGAGCCTGGGGCCTGCAGGTGGGCATCAGGCTTGTGGCCTCACCTCCAGGAGCCCTGCCAGACTGGGGGGAGGGTCCTCTGGCCCCAGGAAAAGGGCAGGGGCGCTTGTGCTGGTCCACACCACACCCCAGTTTTACTTGGCAGGGGCTGATCAGCCAAATTCCTCTCCAGAAGAGAAGTGGGATGATGGCTCACCACAGGGTTTTGCGTGTGTCTGACACACCTTCCGGGGCTCTGGGCTGGGCCGGGCCGGGATTTCCCGGGGCTGGGAACTGAGAAGGGCTCCTGGCCTGCCAGGAGGATTCCTGAAGCCCAGTGGGTGTGCAGACCCACCTATGGACTCTGGGTATCTGTGAGGTTTGTGCTTGAGTGTGTGGATGTGTTTCTAGGGAGGGGCCTGTCCTACCCTGATCTTGCCTCTGTGCCCCAGGAACCTGCCATGGACCCATAGACCTGTCTGCTGCCCTGGGCTCCCACCTGCCCAGAGGCAGATGTGCATTGTCCAGAGGGTCGCAGGCTTAGCATGTTAAGTGTGGGGCTGGGGTGTGTAGGGAGCAAGGTCACAGGGTGCTGGGAGGAGGCTGGCTGGGGTGGCACTGGAGGGGCCTATGTACCCTACCCCTTCCCCTACTTTCTCTGCTGTCCTGGCAGTAAGGGCTGCCCAACAGGACATCCATCCCGCTGCTTCCTCCAGGGAAAGGTGGCATTGTCCTTACCATCTGGGGGCTGGTGGAGAAACAGGCCAGGAGGCGTGAAGAGCCTTATGTCTTTTTTGGCTCCACCTTCTGGTCTGTCTGAGCCTGATGGGCCCAAGAGTCACCTGGGGGCTCTTGGGCTACCTGGAGTGCAGGCCCAAGGCTGCAGGCTACTCAACCCTGACCCCCATTCAGGGCCTGTACCCTGAGAGTGTGAGCTATGTCCTTGGGGCCGGAGGACAGACCTTCACCCTGCACCTGCGGATAAACAGGTAAGCAGGGGGCTGGCCCTCAGGTTGGTGCCCTGGCCAGCAACAGTGCAGGCTTCAGCACCTGCATCCCCCATTCTAGAGCTCAGGGAACTCCTGCGGTTCTTTTCCAGGGACCTGCTGGGCGTGGGCTATACAGAGACTTATTCAGCTGCCAATGGCTCTGAGGTGACAGAGCAGTGGCATGGGCAGGTAGGCATGGGGCTGCTTTCCTGGGGCCAGCAGGGCCATGGGAGCCAGACCTGTGACCTCTCACACTTCCACAGGACCACTGCCTCTACCAGGGTCACGTGGAGGGTCACCAGAGCTCTGCTGCTAGCCTCAGTACATGTGATGGTCTCAGGTGTGTACTCAGACCCTGGCAGGATGTCCCACTCTACAGACGGGTAAACTAAGGCCAAGAAAGAAGGGGCTTGGGATTAGACTTAGAGAAACGCTTCCTTCTTGCACGTGTTTGAAACGTGTGAAGGCACTTGTTGGACTTCTGTGAGGAGTTTCCAGCCCTGCCAAGCCTGTGGGGTAGGCCCACCCAGCTTGCTCTCCTGCTTACTGGGCCCAGGTGTCACCCATGGGGAGTTTGTGTTACTGGTTGGGGTGCAGATCAGAGCCCCTGGTCTTCCCAGATGGGCAGGTGGGGATGGGCTGGAGATGCCCACTTTTTCACTTGGCTCCCCTTCTCAGGGGCTTCTTCCGGGTGGGTTCTGCCATCCATGTGATCGAGCCTCTAGATGGAGGTGGTGAGGAGGGGCAGCATGCAGTGTACCAGGCCAGGCACCTGCAGCAGAAGGCTGGGACTTGTGGGGTCAGCGATGCCAGCCTGGACAACCTTCTGGGGCCTCGGGTCTCAGCAGCCTTCAGGCCTCAGCCCCGGGTAAGCAACATCTTGCCCCACCTGGCTGGTCCTGCCCTGGTCCCTTTGCTTGGGCCTGGGTATTTCTGTCTGCAGCCCCAGAGCCATCCCCAAGCCCTGGAAGGTGGGTCTGGCTCAGACCCATAGCTGTGGAGCAGACTCTTTTCTGCCTGGAGCTGCCTGATGGTCCTCCCGACACTGGGCAGTAGTGGTCTCTGGGGCAGACTGTGCTGGAAAGATTGATGATTCTCCCCAGAACTGGCCCCTGTCCCGAGATACCCGCTATGTGGAGCTGTATGTGGTCACAGACAGCAAGGAGGTGAGGGCATGGGGACAAGTGGGCTGGGCAGGTTGGGACATGGTGTTGGCCCAGCCTGAGGGTCCTGTGTCCCCAGTTCCAGCAGCTGGGGAGCAGAGAGGCCGTGCGCAGGCGTGTGCTGGAGGTGGTGAACCATGTGGACAAGGTGGGCTGCGGTCTTTGTAGGGCCCTGTGAGGGTTTCCAGCTCCTGCAGGGTTTTCAGGACCCCTCAGCAACACAGGTCCATGGGGAGCCAGGTAGCTGGGGGAAGGGGTAGTGACCACAGTGGGTGGGGCAGGAAAGACAACCAAGAGAAGGTCTAACTCAGGGCTCTGTGTGTTGAGCTTGGGACCTGGCCTGCATCTGTGCCCTGTCCCCCAGAAGCAGATAGGAGGGCACCCCCTGCCTCCTACCTTACTGACCTTCCACCAACCAAGCCTGACCCAAGGATTTCTGTCTTCTACAGTTTTATCAGGAGCTCAATTTCCGTGTGGTATTGGTGGGCCTGGAGATCTGGAGCAGGGACAAGGTCCCCATCAGCCCCCATGCCAACATCACCCTGGAGAACTTCCTTTCCTGGCGGGCACAGGACCTGATGGGGAGACACCCCCATGACAATGTGCAGCTCATCACGTGAGAGGGCCTGCACCCTAACCCACCATGGCAGGGCCCTGGCTAGCCCAGGCCTCTAGGCAAACTCTCCAGGCAGAGCCATGAGGCCTGGGGAGGGGCCAGGGGAGCCACTTTCAGGCCATCAATGTCACGTGTGTTTCTAGGGGGGTCGACTTTACCGGGACCACTGTGGGACTGGCTCAGGTGTCTGCCCTGTGCTCTCGGGCCTCGGGGGCTGTGAATCAGGTAAAGGGAGCCCCTGTCCAGGTTTACTGGAACTGGCCTGTGGGTTGGCAGTCAGCCCAGAGGCTGAGCTGGACACATGGAGGCAGTCACGCAGGTCCCTGGAGCACACCTGAGAGGCCACCTCCCTGGGGATGGGTTCAACACCTGTTTTTATGTTTTAAGGGGTGGTTAGCAGGAAGCGGCACCAAGCCCCAGGTGCTGAAGGTGAGGGAGCACCTCACCTTCTGGGTGGATGGGTAAGGCGCTGCCCCAGTGAGCTCAGCCCTCTGCACAGGACCACAGCCAGAACCCTATTGGCGTGGCGTCTACCATGGCCCACGAACTGGGCCACAACCTGGGCATGAACCATGACGAGAATGTCCAAGGATGCTACTGCCCCGTGCCGCGGGAGGGTGGTGGCTGCATCATGGCGGCCAGCATTAGGTGAGCCTTGTGGGGCACAGTGGGTGGGAGGGCAGTGTGACAATGACCCCTGACAGCCATACCCTGCTCTCAGCTCCAAGTTCCCCAGGACGTTCAGCAGGTGCAGCAGGACTGACCTAGAGATGTTCCTGGAGAAACCCCAGACGGGCTGCCTGGCCAATGCCCCTGACCCTGACCGGCTGGTGGGAGGCCCTGTGTGTGGGAACATGTTTGTGGAGCGTGGGGAGCAGTGTGACTGTGGCACTCCCCAGGTATGTCCTGCCCCAACCCCACACTCTGCTCCTCAGCATCAGGGATGTGGCCTCTGTCCTTGTGCTGAGATGACCACCCAAGCCAGGTGCCCTGTGCACCACAACACACATGGCTTTTGGGTGTCCCATGTCAATTCTGTTCTCCTTTGATCCCCAACAATCTGTAAGGGAGTCCAAAGGAGAGTGGTCACTGGTTGCCCCTGGTGGTTGGTGGGGTCCATCCACCCTGAAGTTGGCTCTTGCCCAGGGTGCAGCTGCTCATGCCCCTGTCTCCCAGGACTGTCAGAACCGCTGCTGCAATGCCACAACATGCCAGCTGGCTGAGGGGGCCAAGTGTGCCCATGGCACCTGCTGCCACGAGTGCAGGGTGAGCCCAGGGCAGCGGGTAGGAGGGCAGCCACACCAATAGCAGCAACTCCTGGGCCTGTTTCACATTGAACCTCTCTACGGGCCAGGTGAAGCCAGCTGGTGAGCCATGCCGCCCCCAGAGGGACCAGTGTGACCTGGAGGAGTTCTGCGATGGCCGGAGTCCAGCGTGCCCAGAGGATGTCTTCCAGGAGAATGGCACACCCTGTCCTGGGGGCTACTGCTTTAATGGGCAGTGCCCCACACTGGCCCAGCGGTGCCAGGAACTGTGGGGTCCAGGTAAGGCCTGTGAGCACAGGATACAGGCCAGCCTCCGGGGGTGGCTGTGGTCCTTGTCCAGGCTAATCTGCTCTAGCTCCTAGGTGCACAGGTTGCTGCAGACACCTGCTTCTCCTTCAGCATCTCTCCAGGCTGCAGAGATAGGATCACCCCCAGCATGGGCAGGTGAGCTGGACTGCAGAGGCCCAGGATACAGGATGTCCCCAGAGAGGAGTCTAGCTTTGTAGGGCAGGTGGCCCTCCAGGGGTTCACCCTGCCTTCCAGGATCCCAGCTTGACCTCAGCATCTTGGTAGAAGGGAGGAAGTAGGGTAGGGAGGGAAGGAGGGTTTTGCCTATCTCCTGGAGTGCAGGGCCATGAGCATGGTGCACAATGCAGCTGGGACCATGCCCTGCCCTCTCTCTACAGGGCCGACAGATGTGGGATCCTGTACTGTGCAGGGGGCCGGCAGCCCCCAGAGCGCAGCTCCTGTACAGTCAGTTCCTACTCGGGCAATTGCCAAGCTCTGCGCATGGACAGCGAGGCCTCTGCCTATGAGCCTGTGCCCCAGGGCACCAGGTGTGATAAGGGGAAGGTGAGCTGAGTAGCCCAGATGCCCCATGCAGGCATGTGGGCAGCCCGGACACGAGTCCTACACAGGCCCCTCTGCAGATGGGTTTTCACACTCAGAGTCTGTTGGTAGAGTTTGGGGGGGGGTTTCTCTGTACACTTTCAGGTGAGACTGAGGTGGGTGAGGGAGACGGAGACACCTGTTCCCAGTTCATATTCCCATAGCATTGCCGAGAACCCAGGACTCCAGAGGTTCTGGGCCTCCAGAGGCCTCCAGGGGTGGTCAGCTGACCTAGCCCTTTGGTTTTGAGAATAGGGCCAGGGCAGGGGTCCAGACAAGCTGCTTAGGAGGCCCCCTCTGCCTTCCAGATTTGCTGGGAAGGGCGCTGCCAAGACCTCCAGGTCTACAGATCCAAGAACTGCTCCGCCCAGTGCCACAACCATGGGGTGCGTGTGGCCTCAAGGGACAGCTGCCCCCTGCCTGGTGCCCCAGAAGCTGCTGCCATTGCCTGCATCTGACAGAGCCACTGGTGGTGGCAGCATTGGATGTAGGAATGGGGTCTCAGCCTTGCCCAATGTGTCCATTAACGGGAGATCTCAGCAGGCCCCTTTTTGGAGCTGAAGCTGGAAGGGGTGACCTGGAATCAGGCCTGTGGTCATGCCCCCCTACAAGCCCAGGGTTGTGACCTGGGCAGGGGTGCAGAGGGCCTCTGCTTGCAGAGCTGGCTCAGGGCCCTTATGTTGCAGGAATAGCCTGCTGCACTATGGGCTACATTCCCTAAGGCCCTCTGTCCCTGCAGGTGTGCAACCACAAGAGGGAATGTCACTGCCACGTGGGCTGGGCACCGCCCCACTGTGCGGAGCTACTGACAGACATGCAGGCAGGTAGGGCGTTCAGGGCCAGGTCTAAATTCAAGGCTGCACCTGGTCCTTGTGAGATGATATTTAGGGGATGGTTTGCAATCAACAGCCAGTCCTATGGCAGCCAGAAGGGAGCCTATGTCCCACCTCCTAGATGATTGAAGGTAGTGTCCAGCTCAGAGTAAAATATGCCATCCTCTGCCCAATGCTCCGGCCCCTCTTCAGCCTGGCTTGTAACCTAGGGTCAGTCAGCCCCACAGTGTCGTCTTCCCCAGTGGCCACTGAGCATGTAGCTGTCCACAGCACCCCGATCTCAAGGGCCCGGCTAGGCTGCACCCATAGCACTGTGGACTCAGAACCTGCCCCCCACCTGCCATGCCTTCTGACCCTTTGCTGGGAGCTGGGAGCCCTGGAGCCCAGGGCATGGCCATGGCCGGCTGGGGAGGCTGAGGGCCCTCCCACCCAGGCTGAGGCCTGTGTTCCCCAGCACCTGGGAGTCTCCTGGTCAGCGTGCTGGTGCCCCTAGTGCTCCTGATGGCCATGCTGGCCACCCTGGCAGGCGTCATCGTACACCGCAAGGTCTGGAGCCGTGTCCCCAGGAGGTGAGAACTTGCTGGTTGCGACAGATCTGGGTGTGGAACATGTACTTCCGGGCCTAGAACTATTGGGAAAGGGCCTCCACTACTGTTTGAGGAAGAAGCCACTTCTCACACAGGTTGGGGGTGCTGTGGACTGGGCTCCCGGGTGGCTGTAGCAGGGCTTGAGCCCAGGAGGTGGCTGGGACCCACCCACCTCAGGTCTCTGCTGGGGCCCTTCCTTTCAGTGGCTCAGACAAGGGTGGTCTGGGCTAGAGGTGGGGTATGGTAAGTCCAGAGATAGGGCTCCCACCCCCAAACCAGGACCATGAGCACCCCTTTAGGATCCTGCTGTGCCCTGGGCCAGTACCTTGACTCCAAGCCAGCTGCAGCAGGATAGATTTGCCTAGGACCTCTGAGCACCTCTCCAGTGTGACTGGGCCCCAGGGATTGCCCTTTCAGGGACATGCACTTGGTCTCCTTGTGTCTTATGGCTGTGACTATGTGCATTGCAGCCTGCATGGGGTCTGCCAGAGCAGAGGGACCCCAGAAAAACTAGGCTGGGGGGCACAGCCAGGAGACCTGAGCCCTGGTGGGGACACTGACTGCTATTTCCTCTCTTCCTCTCCAGGAGTGTAGCACCCAAGACCACCATGGGGCTCTCCAACCCCCTGTTCCAGGAGGCAGGCAGCAGTGGGCCAACCAAGGGCAGGGCTCCAGGGCCCCCAAAGCTGGTGTCTACCACGCACCCCAGCCAGCCCGTCAGAGCCACCGTGGCCCCAAAGAGGCTGCCCCCTGCAGTAAGCACCCTCCCCTGAGAGGCACCTGGACCCCTAGGACTCTCTCTGTCCCAGTGTATGACCCACTGGGGACATCATGTTAATTAACTCATATGTCCCTGTGTTGGCCTAGGGCCAAGAGAGGCTGCTGTGGTCACCTGTGGTGCAGGGTCCTAGGGTCTGGGAGTTCAGGGCTACCTTTTGGAGATCTGTATTTGGAGTTTGACCTTGAACTTGTGGCTCGGGGGTTCTCAGCCTTCATTCTGAGAAGATGACACCCCTGCTGCCTCCAGCTCTGGAATGTGGCCACATGGCTGAGGGATAGGGATGGCCTTGTGTCCAGGCTCAGGACCTGCTGGTTCAGGAGCTGGGGCAGATTTGTCACGTACGGAGAGGCTTTGTTTGCTTGGAGGGGCTTGATGGGCACTAGGTGGGCACTCAGCCTTGCCCTCTGGGACCAGGCTCACATTCCTGTCCCCTGCAGCCGCCAGTCATGTCCAGTCCACCCTTCCCAGTCCCTATCTACCCACAGAAGGCACCAGACCAGGTGAGTGGCCTTGATTGGGATGACCAGGTGTTCTGAAAGTATCTGAGCTGTCCCAGGAAGCAGGGGGCCTGGTGGCTGAATGGGGGGGCTGAGGCACAGGGAAGGCAGGTGAGCCTGGCCTAGGATGACATTAAAATGATTCAGTGGAGCCATGGGGGCCGGGGGCACAGATCAGTCCTCCAGACTTGAGATAGGACTGCTGTGTGGGGTCCTGACTCCTCTCTCCCCATCAGCTCAGACCTGCTCCACCCACCAAGCCCCTCCCAAAGCTGAAGCCCAAGCAGGTAAGAAGCCTCCGCCTGTGGGGCCCTCGCCAGCCCTCATGGCACTTCCCTGGGATGTGGCTTTGGGTTTTGAAAAGGTGTCTCACAGTGTGGCTCACTGGAGCTTTGCCAGATGAGGTTGATTCCCGGACTCCCCTTTGCCCCTGCAGTGTCAGGCCTTCCCCTAGCGTGGGCTGCCTGCCCCAATGGGTGCCCCTGGAGTCCCTCTCCCACCCCCAGAACCTGTGGGAACGGGTGGGCCCTTGAGCACTACCTCAGCTCCAGCCCTGGATGTCACTCTGTGACCATGGACCGTTCCCCTCCCGCTGGGCAAACTCAAGCTGCAGGACTGGTGTCTGGCATGGCCCCATCTGTACAGGTCGGCTGTCCACCAGGTGTTGCTGGATGCCCTCCCAGGCAGGCCTCTGTCTACCTCTAGGTGGTCAAAGATGGGGATCATGGTGGGCAGCTGAGGGCTGGGAAGAACCACAAAGTGGCAGGGTCCTAGGAAGTCTCCCCAAAGGTGGCTTGTGTGGGGCCTGAAGGTAAACACCCTTCCCTGCCTTAGGGAATTGTTTAATTTTAATTGCCAACAAATTTTAGATTTATAGAAAATTGCAGAGATGGCAGAGTCCTCGTGTTCCCTCCATAGTCCTCCGGGTTAGCATGGACACAACCTGAGCTGCTCCTGCCTTCATGAGCAGCAGTGCTTGGCCCACATGGTGCTCCTGGGGCCCAAGTGGCTCTTGGTCCTCACCTTGCACTTCGCAAATGTTGGCTCAGTTTTGTCCCTTGATTTGGGTTTGTCTGCTCATCGTGAATTGTCTGAGATGATGGGTTTGGGGCAGGAATAGTGAGGGAAGTGTCCTTTCTAGGATGTTGCCCAACATTATCCTGGGCTGTCACAGGGATGTGACACAGGGCTTGGTTGTGTCTGCAGTTTCTCCCTCTGAGCTATGTGGATAATGAACACAGAAGAGAGGCCATTGAGGATTCATGATTCTCTCTTCAAACTGGCCCACTAGCGTTATCACCCATAAGTAACTTGACCCCCAACAACTGTTACCATGGCGTTTGCTTACTAGTGATTTTCTCTTTCCTTTTTAACTTTTTGTTTTGAACTAATTTTAGATTTACATATGAGTTGCAAAAATAGTCCCAGGAGCCAGGCTCTGAGGCACAAGCCTATAATCCCAGCACTCGGGAGGCTGAAGCAAGAGAATCTCAAGGCCGAGGCCAGCCTGGGCAACTTAGTGAGAGTCTGTCTCAAAATAAAATAAAAAGGTCTGGGAGTGTAGCTCAGTGTCAGAGTGACCCTGGGTCCAATCCCCAGTACTGGGGGGGCGGAAAAAGACCTAGAAAGGGTCTTAATGGGAAGAACAGGGACAGAAATGGGCACAGATATTTCTAGCCAAGGACAAGGAAAAGCCAGGCAAGGAGGAAGGCCCGGGTGGTCTCCGGCCACACTGTGCCTGGTCTGAGGAAGGGAAATGCTCCACAGTGCAGCATCTTCCCATGTTGCTGAGACCTACAGTGCTCACCCCAAGTACCCTTTTCACAGTCCCCTGCCCTGGGAAAGGATACATGCTTTAGTAGTTAATTATTGGTTTTTGAGCTTCCAAAGACCCACATTCTGGCAATTAAAGAAACTTTCAGGGATGATGAGAGGGTGCAGGTGATGCTGCAGTGGCCTGGGTAGTCTGCCAGGACAGGGAGCTCCTCTGCACTGGGGCTTTAGCTGTCAGGTGGCGCGGCCATAGAGGGCATTTCCGCAAAGAGCTTAGCGACAGAAGCCTGCAGCCCAGCAGGAGCAGAGCAGAGGGCCATGGGGAGTTAAGTATGGGCCAAGGCCTGGCCCACTTAAGTGGCCTCTTCATCAGCTGTTTCTGCTCCCTCCCAGCCTGTCAAGCCAACCTCTGCACCCCCCTTGCCACCTGTCAAGCCCAGTGCTGGAGAGACCACACCTGGAATGACTCAGGTGAGCCTCCCCTGCACACAGTTTGGGGTCTACCTGTGCCAGATGTAGAGAGCTGCCCCACTCCTGACTGGCACCGCCCTGCAGTGTATATGTGTGGCATGGGGGAGGGGATTGATTTCTTTAAATTATTGTCTGACAAACTTTGGGGATTATCTGGGAGAAAAAAAAGAAAAATTCATTAACCTTGTTTTAATAATCTGTCAGAGGACTTTTCAGTGACTGTCACTTCAACTGGCTGTCAATTTTGCCTTTTATCCCTATTAGAATAAGCAAATCTACTCTCCATATAAAGTATTAGCCATTAATACTGTGGCTACCACAGCTGTTGTCATTGTATGACAGCACAGACTTACTGTTGGGTGAACTAAGAATACACATTTTAAGAAATATGAAAGGTGGGGCTGGGGTCGTAGCTAAGTGGAGGAGTGCTTGCCTAGCATGTGTGAGGCACTGGGTTCTGTTCTCAGCACCACATATAAATAAATTTAGAAAAAAAAATATGAAAGGAGGGCTGGGATTGTGGCTCAGTGGTAGAGCGCTTGCCTAGCATGCATGAGGCCCTGGGTTCAATCCCTGGAGGCTCAGTGGTGGAGCGCTTGCTTGCCTAGCACGCGTGAGGCACTGGGTTCAATCCCTGGAGGCTCAGTGGTGGAGCGCTTGCCTAGCACGCGTGAGGCACTGGGTTCAATCCCTGGAGGCTCAGTGGTGGAGCGCTTGTCTAGCACGCGTGAGGCACTGGGTTCAATCCCTGGCGGCTCAGTGGTGGAGCGCTTGTCTAGCACGCGTGAGGCACTGTGTTCAATCCCTGGCAGCTCAGTGGTGGAGCGCTTGCCTAGCACGCATGAGGCCCTGGGTTCAATCCCTGGCGGCTCAGTGGTGGACTGCTTGCCTAGCACGCGTGAGGCACTGGGTTCAATCCCTGGAGGCTCAGTGGTGGAGCGCTTGCCTAGCATGCATGAGGCACTGGGTTCAATCCCTGGCCCACATAAAAATAAACAAGATAAAGGTATTGTGTCCATCTACAACTACAAAAAAGAAAGAAAGATGAAAAGGGCCTGGTGCAGTGGTGCACGCCTGCGATTCCAGGGGCTGGGGAGGCTGAAGCAGGAGGACTGCAAGTTCAAAGCCAGCTTCAGCAACTTAGTGAGACTCTGTCTCAAAAAATAAAGAAAGGGCTAGGGATGTTGCTAAGTGGTTAGGGGTGGGGGATGAACTGTGAAAGGGAATATCCTCTTGTGCCCTTCGTAGCACCTGATTTTTAACAGCAACCTGTCTTTCTCCTGTAAGGGGGTCAAAGGCCCCAAAGTCGCACTGAAGCCCGCCGTCCGAAGGTGACAAGGGCGCCGGCCCAGTGTCCAGCCACTGCACAAGTCTGGAGAGGCACTTCGGAACCAAGCGCTGGCATCCCGGGCTCACTACCTGGGCCTCCACGGACCTGGCTGGACGCTCGGCTCCACTCAGGACTCTGGCCTGCTCGGCCTTGCTGCCAGGGGCCAGTGCTCGCCGCCTGGGCCCGCACAGCGGCGTGTGCAAGCGCTGGGGCGGGTGCACCCGGGCGCCACTAGCGAGGGCGGCTCGGCCTCTCCCGGCGCTAGACTTCCTAACAATAAAGAGCTGTGTTTCCCCAGCAAACTGTCGCGCCAGTTCTGTGGGGCGGGAGGTCCTCGGCACACAGTCGACCTTCCGGTGGGAGTTAATCACAAGCCCTCGGGGTTCCCAAAACTGCCCCCGGGCCACCGGGCAGCCTGGGCGCGTCAGACCGGACCCGCCCCTTCCGTCTCCCCGCCCCTTCCGCCTCGTCTCCCGGCAACGGCTCCACGCCAGCCTGCCCCGCCCCTTCTGGTCCGGCTCCCGGCCCCAGCCCGAGCCTTCTGCCATGCCGGGCTCCGACAGGCGGTCTCCTGCGGCGCTAGGGCCGCCGCCGGACGCCCTCCGTGGCCTCTGTGCCTGGCTCGACCAACTCCCGCTCAGCCGCCCCAAGCGCCACCTGACCCGGGACTTCAGCGACGGCGGTGCGGGCGGAGCCGGGGAGGCAGGGCCCGGTGGTAGACGAAGGTTCCCGAGGGGTGGGGACGCCTCTGCGTCCAGCTGGATGTTCCCTGGGGAAGGTGGGGTGGGGCGGGGGGACAACGCAGGCCTCCATCTCTCCCTGGGTGAGCACTGGCTGAGCCACCCCAGTTCTCTTAGCACATGGTCCCTCCCAGATCCAAGTTCAGAAGCCCCAACCAAGTCTCCAGGACAAGCTGGTGCCTTTCCTGCATGCATCTCAGGAGGCCTTAGGAACGGTAGCAGCCAGGCCTGAGTTGGACATGCAGGCTGACCCTTCCTCCGTCCCCTCAGTGCTGGTGGCCGAGATCGTGAAGCATTTTCACCCGCGCCTGGTGGACCTGCACAGCTACATCCCTGCCTGCAACACTGACCAGAAGCTAAGCAACTGGAGCCTTCTCAACAGGCAAGGGCTCCAGAGGGTTTCCAAGGCTGGCCTGGGGAGCCAGCTCTTTTGGACCGAAAGGTGGTAGCCAACACACATTGATCTCATCCTGTGTGCACTGAGGGAGAAGGGGAAGGCTGGCAACAAGTTTCCAGCTGTGGGTGCCAGACCCTTTTCAGTGCCACTTCTGTCCACAGATCCTCACCCTCGACCTAGGGCTCCAGGGCTCTCCCTGTCAGTGTGGGTCTGCTTCCCAAATCACTCATTAAGCAAGGGAACCAGGCTGTGCTCCAGAGCTGCAGACTGGCATTGGACAGGTCCCTGCCTTCATGGAGCAGATGGATAACAAAATATAATCAAAGTTTTGGGTGTGGTAAATGATGTGAAGAACAACGGCCAGGGTGGGGCAGACATGTTGCAGGTCGGGGAACCAGGGTAGGCTCTGAGGAGTAACTGTAGAGTGATGGGGGAGACGTGTGGATGTGCAGGAGGGGGTGGAGAGTCCTAGGGGTTGGCCCAGAGGTCTTGGAGGCCACATGAGGGCCAAGCCTTCAGTTGAGGCAAGTCAGAAGCACTGCAGGGCTCAGGCCTGGGCACATTCTGATGGTGCTTGCATTTCGAAGGGCTGGAGTGGAAAGGATCCTAGGGAAGATGAGGGCATTGCCCTGACCCAGAGGGGAAAGGGTGCCTGCCATTGGTGAGCCCTCTTATGTGAGAGGAACTCAGATTCCAGGTGTTTGGGAGGTAGGTCAGCAGGACTTCTCAGAGCAGAGAGCAGCATTAGTCAGGAAGATGGGTACTTGTGCACAGTCCTTGAAAAGCCTGGCCTGACAACCTGGCGCGTGAAGTGTTCTGTGGCCCCCTGATGGGGTATGGGCCACCCATCAACCGAGTGACCACTGGGCCTCTGGGGGTGCAGGCAAAAAGGGGCCTCACTCAGCTTCTCCCCTCCCAGGAAATCAGGCACTATGCTGTGGCTCAATACCTGGCCCCTGGGGGGCATTGCTCTGAGGGTGCACCTTGCTGCTTTGCAGGAAAGTCTTTCGCAAGCTGTGCTTCTGTGTCTCTGAGGAGGACATCCGTAAGGTGGTAGCCAATGTTCCTGGGGCAATCGAGCCCATCCTGTGTGCACTGAGGGAGAAAGTGGAAGCCAACCCTGCTCAGGCAGGCTCACCTGGCTCAGCTCTTCATGTCTGCAAATTGGTACAGCCCAGGAACAGGCTGCATCTGTTCCCATTTGCATACAGTCAGATAATCTTCTATAAGAGATAAAGCCCACAAATAAATGGTGACAAAGCCCCCACTCCCTGTGGCCCTACAGTCCAACTGAGGCAAGCCTCACATGAGGCTGCTGTCCCCATCAGCTCCCTTCCCTGAGTGCTGCTGTCCCTCACTCCCTGCCCAGCCTGACCCACCTGCCTCAGGGTGGTGAAAACACCCTGTCCCTTGGGACAACCCTACCCATACCAGCTCAGTTTCCCTGCCCCTTCCTGTCCTCCAGTTTGCTCCCTAACCCTCACCCCAGAGTGGTGACTGGGAACACAGCAGGCACATTCATCTTCTACATTTCACTTCCCATCCTGTAGAATCTGCAGGATCCAGGATTCTCCAGCATGGATGCTGTCCATTCACAGGCAGGTAGGACTCAAATCCCTGTTGCAGGCAAGTTTGACCTATCAGAGGCCCTCTTGTCCTCCTGTGAGGAGCATTACCACATTCCCAGACTGCCCTGTGGCACTTGTAGGCTCACACACCTGAAAAAGAGGGCCCAACAGGCCCCTGATGGGGCCCTGGCTCCATCAACACCTGGAGAGCAGTCCCCTGAGGGGAGTCCACAGACCATTCATTGTGTCTCCAAATGGAGCACACTTCAAAGTCATCCCAGGCTGTGCAAGCCCAGCACGATGGCATCTGAACCTGCCTAACCCGTGGTCTGAGCACCCCTCCCACCACACATACAGGTGCACACCCTTAGAGGCAGGGGACCTGAGCTGATGGTGTCTGTCTGTGACACAGGCCTGCTAAGCCCCCCAGCTCCCACCAGTATGAAGACCCTTCCGAAGCAGAGGGCCTTGGAGAAGAAGGGCAGCTGTGCTTGTGAATGGTAGGCCCTGTCTCTCAAGCCCTCTTCCAGGCCTTCCTCTCCCCTTACTTCACCAGCTGGATTAAAGTGTGGTATCTGCCTTTCAGTCAGGACCCAGCTGAAGGGGCTTGGGAGCACCTGGCCAAGGTTCAGCAGTTGCTGGAGGACAAGGAGCAGGCATTGGCCATTCTGCAAGAGACAGTCCAGGTATGGCCCAGCTGGGCACTCCTTCCCAGACATCCTGAGCTGCAGGATGGGGAATCAGAGGGACCTGCTGCCTTCGCTGTGAGCAGCTTCAGTCCAATCCCCAGCTGAGTTCTTGCCACGCTGGCTCTGTCCCAGAGCAGGGTTTAGTAGACAGAACCTTGGCAGGAAGAGTCCACATTTAGTTTGATTATTTAGAAAACAGTGTATGGAATATTCCAGTCATACCCAGAAGCAGAGAAAAGAGTATAAGTCCTTCCCACCACCAGGTATCTACTGCCAGCCTTACCACCTTATCAGTCATGAGCCCATGTGCTGGGGCCACAGGCCAGGCCCCAACAGAAGTGCGGGGCCCAGTTCAGGGAGCAGAAGATGCTCCCTTTCTGGGAAGTGAATGGGGTGGGGTGCTGATGAGAGTCTCCTGCTTGCTCCATTCCAGCCTGGGTGGGACCTCTTCCTTCTCCCCATCTCCCAGGGGGCCAGGGTCTGGCAAGCATCTCCAGCCCGGAGCTCTGTGGGCACATAGGTCTGTGTTGCTCACCTGTTTATATTGTGCTTAGCTGGCTCTGTGGTGCTCACCTGACTGCAGGCACACACCTGTCCCTCTGCTGTCTCACAGGGGCCTCCAGGGCTCCTGTGCTCAGAAGGGCTCCTGCTACTCTTACCTCTCCCCAACCTTGGCAGCACAGGTGACAGCCCAGGACCCATGACAGTGTAGGGGAGGGGCAGGCCTGCTGGATGGGCCTCATTGTGGCAAGGCATCAGAAATCGCACCAGCATCTCGGTTCCTGAGACCAGATCTCGATGAGTAGTCTTCTTGAGAAAACAGGAAAGTGATATCATTGTGTGGCTTTGGGTGTGCTGAACACCCTCTTGTCCCCAGAGGGCCAGCAGAGAGGAAGCGGTGGGGAGAAATGAAGGGCAGCTTGCAACCCTTGCTGTCCCCACTCTGGCTCTGGCTTGTGGGCCGACCCTGAGAATCATAAGTACTTCATTTTAGAACACCCAGAGAGGAAACACTCAACCTGCCATCTAAGGGTTGGCACATCGAGGGCCATTTGCATGTTACAAAGTGAGATACAAACCTTGGAGTCAGAGAGACCCCAGGAGTCATCGAGGGGCAGTTTATGTGGTGTTGGGTGGCAGCTGGAGTGTCACCTGGTCACTCTGCCCCTTGTAGCTTGTCACTGAGCCAGGGGCACTGGCAGGGTGGCCAGGGTGTGGGCCAGGTGGAGCAGCCACACCACCTGCAGGCTCAAGGAAGGTCCGTGTCTTGTTTTGAGTGACAGGAGGCCACCCCTGCCCACCTCCCCCCTCATGCAGCCTTTTCACACTCCTGACCTTCACCTGGACACATGGTTTGGAGCAGACCAGCTTTTCTAATCCAGATTTCCCCATTTCTCACTTGGGGCACATGACAAGGCCCATGCTTCTAGATGGGGAAGGTTTGGGATACGGTCATTCTTGAAGCAGGTGTGGAGGGCCACAGGCACCCCAGCCTGAGCCTTGCTGTGGCCACCATGTCCAAGGCAGATGTCTCCAGAGGGCCTTTCTGCACCTTCCTTCAATTTCTTGGGTTTCCAACTTTTAGAAGTAAATACCAAATAAACCATCTAACTGCTGTGTGTTCATTCGGTCAACTGTTAACTCAGCAAAGATGCCCCGAGCACCTGCCAGGCCCTGGGCACTAGGCTCATATGGTGAGGGCCCAGGCCCTGCCCTACCCATGCCCACGCCCTTCCACCTGGAGCTGGGGGCAG